GTACATATAACTAAATGTAAATATTGCCACAGGAACTATTGTAACGCCCTTCTAGAATGTGGAAAAAATCACAAATTTGGAGGCAACTCTCGCAAATGTTCAAGAAATGTCAAAGTATTTTATCCCGCTATTCTGGAAAAATATCTTGATTTGGTCTATTAGTATCTCAAAAAACTAAACATGTGTAAATTAAAAAATGATGCTGATACAGCCTTGAAATCACATGGTGGAGTGAAAGAGGGAAATGAGTGGTGCTAACACCGCCTTCAAACGTGGAGTGCGAGAGGGGAGTGGTGCTAACACCGCCTTGAAACGTGGAGTGAGAGAGGGAAGTAAGAATTTCTTGGTGCTGACAGTCTTGAAACATTAAGTGGGAAAGGGAAGAATGATGCTGGAAGCCTTGAAACATGGAGAGGTAAGAATGGTGCTGGCAGCCTTGAAACATGGAGAGGTAAGAATAGTGCTGACGGCCTTGAAACATGGAGAGGTAAGAATGGTGCTGATGGCCTTGAAACATGGAGAGGTAAGAATGGTGCTGGCAGCCTTGAAACATGGAGGTAAGAATGGTGTTGACGGCCTTGAAACACGGAGAGGTAAGAATGGTACTGGCAGCCTTGAAACGTGGAGAGGTAAGAATAGTGTTGACGGCCTTGAAACATGGAGAGGTAAGAATAATGCTGACGGCCTTGAAACATGGAGAAGTAAGAATGGTGCTGGCAGCCTTGAAACATGGAGGTAAGAATGGTGCTGACGGCCTTGAAACATGGAGGTAAGAATGGTGCTGACAGCCTTGAAACATGGAGTAGGAGAGGAAAGTAATTGTTGTTGACAGCCTTGAAACATGGAGTGGGAGAGAGAAGAATGGTGCTGACGGCCTTAAAAATGGAGTAGGAGAGAGAAGTAAGAATGTTGCTGACAGCCTTGAAACATGGAGTAGGAAGAATGGTACTGACAGCCTTGAAATATGGAATGGGAGGGAAGTAGTGCTGACAGTCTTGAAACATGGAGTAGGAAGAATGGTGCTGACAGCCTGGAAACATGGAATGGGAGGGAAGTGCTGACAGCCTTGAAACATGGAGTGAGAGAAGAATGGTGCTGATAGCCTGGAAACATGGAGTGGGAGAGGGAAGTAAGAATAGTGCTGACAGCCTTGAAACATGAAGAGGGAAGTAAGAATGGTGCTGACAGCCTTGAAACATGATGGAGCGAGAGAGGGAGGGAAGTGTGGTGCTGACAACCTAGCACACGGTTCTCGTGCCGAGTAAAGGGGATAGCCTCGTTCTCTAAGCTGACTTTTTAAACGTAAGGCTTTATGAATAGAATCATTTATACCACTTCGCCCTCTTGGATCTCATTCATTCATTGTCTACTTCAGAAATCGTGATAGTTTAGAATTAATGCCTACGACTTATTTATAACCAACATCGGTAGCTCAGCTGGATATCTATTCAGCCGAGACAAAACTCTCGCATGTATAAAAGACACAATTCAATACAAATGATCTACAAAATCGTCATATGGTTTATTTTTTTTATGTGAATAACAGAAAATTGTCAGCAGGCGAATGAACGCTACACACAAAAAAATGTTAATTTATATTTGTTAGTCAGTAACATTTGGTCATTTATTATTTCGTTAACAGTAATGTTATTCTGCAGGTGAAAGCGGATGCCTAGTTCATGTACGATATTTGAAACTTCCTTCAAGGGAGGTGGTTTGATGCTAGTGAAGAGCTTTTGAACCAAGGAATTGGAGTTATTCTTTCCTTCATTGAATCCAAACCTGATTGATTGCTTCCTATTCCATAAAACTGTATGATGACTCCAACAAATTTAGCACTTTCCTGAGAGCATCTTAAAAATAATGGCTTGCTTAATTAAGCCTATTAAGAGTTTCAATGTGAATTAGTACTACCCGAGTTTCATTGGTAATTGGCAATAATTAACTAATGTCGACGTTTTCAGATGTAGACTTAATACTTAATGTCTGACGTTATTATATATATATATATTTATATATATATATATATATATATATATATATATATATATATATATATAATATATATATATATATATATATATATATATATATATATATATATATATATATTATATATATATATATATATATATATATATATATATATATATATATATATATATATATATATATATATATATATATATATATATATATATATATATATATATATATATATATATATATATTTTATATATATATATATATATATATATATATATAAATATATATATATATAATAACGTCAGACATTAAGTATTAAGTCTACATCTGAAAACGTCGACATTAGTTAATTATTGCCAATTACCAATGAAACTCGCGTAGTACTAATTCACATTGAAACTCTTAATAGGCTTAATTAAGCAAGCCATTATTTTTAAGATGCTCTCAGGAAAGTGCTAAATTTGTTGGAGTCATCATACAGTTTTATGGAATAGGAAGCAATCAATCAGGTTTGGATTCAATGAAGGAAAGAATAACTCCAATTCCTTGGTTCAAAAGCTCTTCACTAGCATCAAACCACCTCCCTTATATATATATATATATATATATATATATATATATATATATATATATATATATATATATATATATATATATATATATATATATATATATCCTAGGTAGTAGGTTGGTAGACAGCAACCGCCCAGGGAGGTACTACCGTCCTGCCAAGTGAGTGTAAAACGAAAGCCTGTAATTGTTTTACATGATGGTAGGATTGCTGGTGTCCTTTTTTCTGTCTCATGAACATGCAAGTTTTCAGGTACGTCTTGCTACTTCTACTTACACTTAGGTCCCACTACACATACATGTACAAGCACATATATACACACCCCTCTGGGTTTTCTTCTATTTTCTTTCTAGTTCTTATTCTTGTTTATTTCCTCTTATCTCCATGGGGAAGTGGAACAGAATTCTTCCTCCGTAAGCCATGCGTGTTGTAAGAGGCGACTAAAATGCCGGGAGCAAGGGGCTAGTAACCTCTTCTCCTGTATATATTACTAAATGTAAAAGGAGAAACTTTCGTTTTTCCTTTTGGGCCACCCCGCCTCGGTGGGATACGGCCGGTGTGTTGAAAGAAGTTGAATATATATATATATATATATTATTTATATATATATATATATATATATTTATATATATATATATATATATATATATATATATATATATATATATATATATATATATATATATATATTATATATATATATAACCCTTGGTTATGCAGAATATTTCGCGCAACTTAGGTTAATCTTAGTCACCCAAAATGCGAGCCACAACAGTTGACTATCACCCAGGTACCTACTTACTGCTAAGTGAACAGGGGCAGTAGGTGTAAGGAAACATTATTATAATTACAACAACAAAAAAAATCGATAATAAACAGTTCGTCGAAAAATTACACATTATATAGAAGGGGTTTACGGAGATTATTTACATAGTACGTACACCTATGACAGGGTGAGTGGTACGTACCTGTTAGTGACAGGGTGAGTGGCACGTACCTGTGCCAGTGGCACGTACCTGTCAGTGACAGGGTGAGTGGCACGTACCTGTCAGTGACAGGGTGAGTGGCACGTACCTGTCAGTGACAGGGTAAATGGCACGTACCTGTTAATGACAGGGTGAGTGGCATGTACCTGTCAATGACAGGGTGAGTGGCACGTACCTGTATCATTGACAGGATGAGTGGCACGTACCTGTTAGTGACAGGGTGAGTGGCACGTACCTGTGTCAGTGACAGGATGAGTGGCACGTACCTGTCAGTGACAGGGTGAGTGGCACGTACCTGTCAGTGACAGGGTGAGTGGCACGTACCTGTCAGTGACAGGGTAAATGGCACGTACCTGTTAATGACAGGGTGAGTGGCATGTACCTGTCAATGACAGGGTGAGTGGCACGTACCTGTATCATTGACAGGATGAGTGGCACGTACCTGTTAGTGACAGGGTGAGTGGCACGTACCTGTGTCAGTGACAGGATGAGTGGCACGTACCTGTCAGTGACAGGATGAGTGGCACGTACCTGTTAGTAACATGATGAATGGCATGTACCTGTATCAGTGATAGGGTGAGTGGCACTTACCTATGTTAGTGACAGGGTGAGTGGCACGTACCTGTTAGTGACAGGGTGAGTGGCACGTACCTGTTAGTGACAGGGTGAGTGGCACGTACCTGTCAGTGACAGGGTGAGTGGCACGTACCTGTTAGTGACAGGGTGAGTGGCACGTACCTGTGACAGGGTGAGTGACACGTACCTGTCAGTGACAGGGTGAGTGGCACGTACTTGTCAGTGACAGGGTAAATGGCACGTACCTGTTAGTGACAGGGTGAGTGGCACGTACCTGTGTCAGTGACAGGATGAGTGGCACGTACCTGTCAGTGACAGGATAAGTGGCACGTACCTGTTAGTAACATGATGAATGGCATGTACCTGTATCAGTGATAGGGTGAGTGGCACTTACCTGTTAGTGACAGGGTGAGTGGCACGTACCTGTTAGTAACATGATGAATGGCATGTACCTGTATCAGTGATAGGGTGAGTGGCACTTACCTATGTTAGTGACAGGGTGAGTGGCATGTACCAGTGTCAGTGATAGGGTGAGCGGCACATACCTGTCAGTGACAATGTGTGTGGCACGTACCTGTGACAGGGAGAGTGGGATGTACCTATGTCATAGGGAGAGTGGCACGTATCTGAATAACTGACAGGGGGATTAGCACGTATCTGAGTGATAGAATAAGTAACACTTACCCGAGTCACACGTACCTGAGTGACAGGTGAATGGGCCGTACCTGAGTTACAGGTGAGTGAGCCGTACCTGAGTGAAAGGTGAGTGGGCCGTATCTGAGTGACAGGTGAGAGGGCCGTACCTGAGTGACAGGTAAGAGGGCCGTACCTGAGTGACAGGTGAGTGGGCCGTACCTGAGTGACAGGTGAGTGGGCCTTACCTGACTGGTGGCAGCAAGGAGCATGGTGGGCTGGAGTGGCGTCAGTCAGGTGATGGTGGGTTGTTGCTCCACCGGTCTGACTCCTCCTCCAGCACCCCCGCCGCCCCTCCCACCCACGCCCCGAGCTCAACAGGTGGGCGGCTGTGGTGGTGGGCAGCTGGTGGCGGTGGGCGGCTGGTGGTGAGTGGCTGGTGGTGATGGCGAATGGCTTGCAGTGATGGTGGCGGTGGGCGGCTGGTGATGAGAGGTTGGTGTCGGTGGGCTGCTGGTGGTGGCGGTGAGTGGCTGGTGGTGGCGGTGGACGGCTGGTGGTGGCTGTTGGTGGCGGTGGGCGGGTGGTGGTGGTGGTGAGTGGTTGATGGTGGCGTAGGCGGCTGGTGGTGGTGAATGGTTGGTGGTGATGGCGGCGGGCGGCTGCTAGTGCGGTGGGCAGCTGGTGGTGGTGACGGTGGGCGGCTGGTAGTGGCGGCTGGTGGTGGTGACGGTGGGCGGCTGGTAGTGGCAGCTGGTGGTGGTGACGGTGGGCGGCTGGAGGTGGCGGCTGGTGGTGATGAGTGGCTGGTAGTGATGGAGGTGGGCGGCTGGTGGTGATGAGTGGCTGGTAGTGATGGAGGTGGGCGGCTGGTGGTGATGAGTGGCTGGTAGTGATGGAGGTGGGCGGCTGGTGGTGTTGAGTGGCTGGTAGTGATGGAGGTGGGCGGCTGGTGGTGTTGAGTGGCTGGTAGTGATGGAGGTGGGCGGCTGGTGGTGATGAGTGGCTGGTAGTGATGGAGGTGGGCGGCTGGTGGTGATGAGTGGCTGGTAGTGATGGAGGTGGGCGGCTGGTGGTGTTGAGTGGCTGGTAGTGATGGAGGTGGGCGGCTGGTGGTGTTGAGTGGCTGGTAGTGATGGAGGTGGGCGGCTGGTGGTGATGAGTGGCTGGTAGTGATGGAGGTGGGCGGCTATCGGGCACCGTGTACAGTTTTTTGAGGGTAAAGAATATATCCCAAGAGAGACTTTCGGCCTCTTAAGAATAAGTTTCGTTCATGGTATGACGCGAGTTATTATCATTCACAAAAAAAATATACGACGCAAGTGATCGTAGTGGCGACTGGCAAAAGTTGATTCTACACAGAGTAAATACATAAGACTGGAGAGTGTCTTAAGAGTGATGAGGAAGTGTCAGGTAGACAGTAACGTCACTGTCTAACTAGGAGATGAGTGACTATATATCAGTGTCCCACGAAATTCCGGAAAATAGGAAGTAATGTAGAAGGCATTCAAGATATGTAGTACTCACTAGGAAGTGCCCTGGAAAGTGTCCACTGGCTAGTGTCCAATAACTAAAGTGCCCTAGGGAGTCCAGTGACTACAGTAGTGTCCAATAACTATACAGTGCCATGGGAAGTGCCTGGTAGTAGTAATACCAGGAGACAATACGGTGAGGAACTATCCTAGTCAGTTCCTCAATGATGTCCTTGCAAGTACCCGGGGATAAAATGACACAGAAATATCTATTATCAAATTCACAAGAAAAAGCTAAACCCGTATAGATTAAACAGCACGTAGGAACGTCTACATAAACGAGGTTAGCACAGGTTCAACATACCGCAGCACTACACAGGCCTACACCACGACACTTATTCATTCACTGAATGAAAACCCAGATTCGAGTTTAAGTAAACTCTCATTTGCATTTCGTCAACTAATGCATTATAGATTTTCATGCAAACTCCAATGGTAATTCGTTTATGTATTTTTTTTTGTAGTCTAAGAATCTGATAATATAACACAAAACAGGAGAGCTCAGGACGCACGTACACACCCACCGACCTTCTCTCCAAGACTGACTTGCCTGGGTTGCCTCTCTCTACATATAACGCTTCAAGTGCTACAATTATTATTTTGATTTTCAAAGCAGATAGCGATTCATATCTGAGAATTGCTTGATATCTCTTCAGTGATTTATTTTTATTTTTCATGGGACAATTATGGAGAACTATAATTCATTCTTTCAGTTACAATCCCTCATTCTCATGGTTCCTTTAGAATGCAGGCATTGTATTTACCACCTTAAAGGCTCAAGGCCGGCTAACCGGTTCGCTGAATTCCTTCATAAGTTACCTTGCTCACACTCCAACAGCATGTTCATTAAAAAACAATTGTCTCCAGTCACTCCTATATAACATACTCACACAAGCCTGCTGGATGACCAAGCCCCTAAAACTCAAGCCTCATTTACTTCCTCTCTCTCCCACCGATCTTTGGATGACCCCTAATCACCCTACCTCCCCTCCCGGATTTATACACCCTCTTCGATAACTCTTCTCTCTTCTCTACATGCCCAAACCACCTCAACCCCTACTCAACCCTCTGAATTATGCCGCTGGTGACCACACTTCGCCCTGTAAGGATTAACTTCGCGGGAGTCACACCACACAGCGTCCTTAATTATTATAATCACAGGGAAGCGCTAAACCCTTAGGATTATACAGCGCATGTGGGGGGATGGAAGGTATTCATGCTTAATTCAAGGTACCGGATTATTTATTATAATAAAAAAGAAGGGCTAAACCACAAGGGCTATACAGCGCTGCAGGGCAGGAAGGAAGCCGGGGTATCAGGATTCAGGTGGCAAAAGGGGGAGGGATAATTAGTAGGTTTACCTGGAGTTTACTTGGAGAGAGTTCCGGGGGTCAACGCCCCCGCGGCCCGGTCTGAGACCAGGCCTCCTGGTGGATCAGAGCCTGATCAACCAGGCTGTTGCTGCTGGCTGCACGCAAACCAACATACGAGCCACAGCCCGGCTGATCCGGAACTGACTTTAGGTGCTTGTCCAGTGCCAGCTTGAAGACTGCCAGGGGTCTGTTGGTAATCCCCCTTATGTGTGCTGGGAGGCAGTTGAACAGTCTCGGGCCCCTGACACTTATTGTATGGTCTCTTAACGTGCTAGTGACACCCCTGCTTTTCATTGGGGGGATGGTGCATCGTCTGCCAAGTCTTTTGCTTTCGTAGTGGGTGATTTTCGTGTGCAAGTTCGGTACTAGTCCCTCTAGGATTTTCCAGGTGTATATAATCATGTATCTCTCCCTACCTGCGTTCCAGGAATACAGGTTTAGGAACCTCAAGCGCTCCCAATAATTGAGGTGTTTTATCTCCGTTATGCGCGCCGTGAAAGTTCTCTGTAACATTTTCTAGGTCGGCAATTTCACCTGCCTTGAAAGGTGCTGTTAGTGTGCAGCAATATTCCAGCCTAGATAGAACAAGTGACCTGAAGAGTGTCATCGTGGGCTTTGGCCTCCAGTTTTGAAGGTTCTCATTATCCATCCTGTCATTTTTCTAGCAGATGCGATTGATACAGTGTTATGGTCCTTGAAGGTGAGATCCTCCGACATGATCACTCCCAGGTCTTTGACGTTGGTGTTTCGCTCTATTTTGTGGCCAGAATTTGTTTTGTACTCTGATGAAGATTTAATTTCCTCATGTTTACCATATCTGAGTAATTGAAATTTCTCATCGTTGAACTTCATATTGTTTTCTGCAGCCCATTGAAAGATTTGGTTGATGTCTGCCTGGAGCTTTGCAGTGTCTGCAATGGAAGACACTGTCATGCAGATTCGGGTGTCATCTGCAAAGGAAGACACGGTGCTGTGGCTGACATCCTTGTCTATGTCGGATATAAGGATGAGGAACAAGATGGGAGCGAGTACTGTGCCTTGTGGAACAGAGCTTTTCACCGTAGCTGCCTCGGCTTTACTCTTGTTGACGACTACTCTCTGTGTTCTGTTAGTGAGGAAATTATAGATCCATCGACCGACTTTTCCTGTATTCCTTTAGCACGCATTTTGTGCGCTATTACGCCATGGTCACACTTGTCGAAGGCTTTTGCAAAGTCTGTATATATTACATCTGCATTCTTTTTGTCTTCTAGTGCATTTAGGACCTTGTCGTAGTGGTCCAATAGTTGAGACAGACAGGAGCGACCTGTTCTAAACCATGTTGCCCTGGGTTGTGTAACTGATGGGTTTCTAGATGCGTGGTGATCTTGCTTCTTAGGACCCTTCTTCAAAGATTTTTATGATATGGGATGTTAGTGCTATTGGTCTGTAGTTCTTTGCTGTTGCTTACTGCCCCCTTTGTGGAGTGGGGCTATGTCTGTTGTTTTTAGTAACTGTGGGACGACCCCCGTGTCCATGCTCCCTCTCCATAGGATGGAAAAGGCTCGTGATAGGGGCTTCTTGCAGTTCTTGATGAACACAGAGTTCCATGAGTCTGGCCTGGGCAGAGAGTGCATGGGCATGTCATTTATCGCCTGTTCGAAGTCATTTGGCGTCAGGATAACATCGGATAGGCTTGTGTTAATCAAATTTTGTGGCTCTCTCATAAAAAATTCATTTTGATCTTCGACTCTCAGTCTGGTTAGCGGCTTGCTAAAAACTGAGTCATATTGGGACTTGAGTAGCTCACTCATTTCCTTGTTGTCATCTGTGTGAGACCCATCTTGTTTAAGTAGGGGCCCAATACTGGACGTTGTCTCTCGATTTTGATTTGGCATAGGAGAAGAAATACTTTGGGTTTCTTTCGATTTCATTTATGGCTTTTAGTTCTTCCCGCGATTCCTGACTCCTAAAGGATTCTTTTAGCTTAAGTTCGATGCTTGCTATTTCTCTGACCAGTGTCTCCCTACGCATTTCAGATATATTGACCTCTTTTACCCGCTCTGTTATTCTTTTCCGTCGCCTGTAAAGGGAGCGCCTGTCTCTTTCTGTTTTACATCTCTCCTCCTTTTTCTTAGAGGAATAAGCCTTGTGCATACATCGAGTGCTACCGAGTTAATCTGTTCTAGGCATAATTGGGTCTGTGTTGCTTAGTATATCTTCCCAGCTTATATCGGTTAGGACTTGGTTTACTTGGTCCCACTTTATTTTTTTGTTATTGAAGTTAAATTTTGGGGTGAATGCTCCCTCGTGACTAATCTCATTATGTCGGTCTGGGGCTCCGCGCATACATGACTGAACTCAATTATGTTGTGATCTGAGTATATTTTTTTTTGATATGGTGAATTTCTTATCAGATATCATTGTTAGTGAAGATGAGGTCTAGTGTATTCCCCAGTTAGTAGGCTCTATTATTTGCTGGTTTAAATTGAATTTTGTGCAGAGTTTTAAGAGCTCGCGTGAGTGTGAGTTTTAAATCAGAGCTGCCCCCCTGGTGTTTTTACTGCAACAATATTATTGCTATATTCCTCCATTTTAGGTGCCTTAAGTTGAAATCCCCCAGGAGAAGATGTTGGGTGCAGGAGCTGGAAGGTTTTCCAGACAGTGGTCAATTTTTAACAGCTGTTCCTGGAATTGCTGGGTGTTGCATCTGGAGGCTTGTAGACTATCACAATGACTAGGTTTTGGTTCTCGACCTTTACTGCTAAAACTCCACTACATCATTTGAGGCATTTAGCAGTTCTGTGCAAACAAGTGACTCTGCAATGTACAGGCCAACCCCCCCCCCCTTTTGCCTGTTCACTCTGTCACATCTGTATAGGTTGTAACCTGGGATCCATATTTCGTTGTCCAAGTGATCCTTTATGTGGGTCTCAGTGAAAGCCGCGAACATTGCCTTTGCCTCTGCAAGCAGTCCACGGATGAAAGGTATTTTGTTGTTTGTTGCTGGCTTTAGACCCTGTATATTTGCAAAGAAGAATGTTATCGGACTGGTGGTATTGTTGGTACTGGGGGGGAGAACAGCGGGGCATTGGACAGTGCAGGGGTAGAGGGTAGTGAAGGGAGTGAGAAACAACAGACTCGAGCAGCTGGAACTTCCCAGGGGGTTAGGAAAAGTGAGATGCTACAGAAACCCAAGGCAAACGGAAACCAAGCCTGTGCACATACTATGTACTTGGTATCTGCTGGCATGGGAAATCTGGAAAAACAGATGGGACGTGCAACTATGACCACCCTAGAAAATGCCATGCCCATATGACAACAGGAAAATGCAAACTCCCTTCCTGTAAGCTTTTTCACCCTGAACTGTGTACCTCTTCAGTACAGGAAAGACTGAGACCCACATAAAGGATCACTTGGACAACGAAATATGGATCCCAGGTTACAACCTATACAGATGTGACAGAGTGAACAGGCAAAAGGGGGGGGTTGGCCTGTACATTGCAGTCACTTGTATGCACAGAACTGCTTAATGCCTCAAATGATGTAGTGGAAGTTTTAGCAGTAAAGGTCGAGAACCAAAACCTAGTCTTGTGGTAGTCTACAAGCCCCCGGGAGGGCAACATCCCAGCAATTCCAGGAACAGCTTTTAAAAAATTTGACCACTGTCTGGAAAATCTTCCAGCCCCTGCACCCAACACTTGCTCCTGGGGGATTTCAACTTAAGGCACCTAAAATGGAGGAATATAGCAAATAATATTGTTGCAGTAATAACACCAGGAGGCAGCTCTGATGAAACTCACACTCACGCGAGCTTTTAAATCTCTGCACAAAATTCAATTTAAACCAGCAATAATAGAGCCTACTAGACTGGGAAAAACACTAGACCTCATCTTCACTAACAATGATGATCTGATAAGAAATGTCACCATATCAAAAACAATATACTCAGATCACAACATAATTTTAGGTTCAAGGGCATGTATGCATTTGGGGCCCCGAAACCGACATAATGAGACTATCACGAGGGGGCATTCACCAAATTCAACTTCAATAACAAAAACATAAAGTGGGACCAAGTAAACCAATTCCTAACCGATATAAGTGGGAAGATATACTAAGCAACACAGACCCCAACTTATGCCCAGAACAGATTAACTCGGTGGCACT